AGCAGGAACAAAGATTTACTATGCCTCAGCTGGTCTGTGGTAACTGCTTCCATGTCTGCTTTTACCTCATGGTAAAGATAACCCTGCAGTATCCTGTCCCTGAGAGGAAAGGGGGACTTTGTGTACTTTGCATTCAAAAATACTTTGCGCTCCTTTTCACGTACCACAGTGTAGGAGCATGACCAGAGAGTTGCTACACTATAGCAAGTGCATTGTAAATTGCCACCGTCTTTGAGTTTGCAGGAACTTGTTTGCAAGCCAAACCTAATTGGCTGCCTCCTATTGGATTATTGCTATGCCAGTGCTTATGGTGCTCTCTGTAGCATCACAGCATCTTCAGTTCTCCAATTCTATTCCAGTCCCTTCAGCATCCCCAGTATTTCCCACTGTCTCCACGGAGAGGCAGACTATACCATGCTTTCATTTGTCCCCTACCACTGCCACAGCTGTGCCCATCAGATTTCCTATTGGTCTACCTCTTCCTGAGTGGAGCAAACCACAGAACTGTTCTAGTCTTCCTCCAGCTGCTGTCTTCCTTCCCTAGCTTGTACATTAGCATAGCCAATAGGTTACCATGCTCCCTGAGCTGAAGGCCATGTCCTTAATACCTAAGATGCATTGATCTCTACTGTAAATGTACTCATTGACGTGTAACAGAAAATGCTCTCTAAAATATAAAAACTGTTACCAGTAAAATCTCACTTTTTATAAACGCATGTGATGTGTACACTGGGTAAGATATACATGTACAAGGTTTGGACAAGTGGCAAGGTTAAGTTGGAGTGTTGTTTAGAGAAGTTTTGATATGTGACTATATATCTTTTATTTAGTATCTTAGCTTCTTTTATAAGTTAATTTGTTTTTTACTGTAAGCCACCTGAAGCCCTTTTTTGGGGGAAGGGCAGCTTATAAAAAAATTAATACCATGTGCCAGAGCTCAGTAATCTGAGTTAATATAGTTCTAAGTATCATTTTTATTATTGATAATAATTAGGTGCATTATTGCCTAATGATCAATCAGCAATGGAGCCCCAGATTGCTGGGCACTTCAACCTCAGAGTAGCAGACAGTAGCTACCTCAAAGAGCTTACAATGTAAACAGACGCAGAGACAAAAGGCACATTTACATGTGCTATTTATGTGATATAGGCTTACTGTACAGTAAAATCATATGCAGTAAGCCTTCCCTGGGAGTGCATTTACATGTGCACCCTATCGGGAGCAAATCTGCTTCTAGTGGGAGCAGCCCAGTACAGGGCTGCTCCTGCTCTGCTCTGTCCCCCTGAAGCAGCCCATGGAAGCTCCAGACTTCCCCAGCATGCTAGCTCAGGGGCTGGCAGGGGGTATGGGAGTTGGTCCCGATGCACATGGGGCCGGAGACCTCTGCCAGCTGCAACTGTCTCCTGGCCCCATGCACATTGGGATGGGTCCTAAAGTGCACAGTGCCAGAAGAGCTCTGCCAGCTGCAGCACTAGCTGTCTCCCAGCCCTGTGCACAGCAGAATGCCTCCCACTGTGCACAGGGCCAGGAGACAGCTACCACTGTGGTCACCAGAGCTCTCCCAGCCCTGTGCACATCAGGACACACAGCTGTCAGCAAGCTCCTGGGGCAGCTGCTGGTGAGCCCCTGGCTGGGCAGAGAACTCCCCAGTCCCAGTGCTGCTTGACTCCTGGCTCCTGTGGGAGTTGGGAGCTGAGCAGTGCCAGGACCAGGGACATTGAACTCTCCCATCCCCTTTGGCCCACTGTTGGTGTGGCTGACCAGGAGAAAATATGTTTCTGGTTAGCATCTATGTGAGCACAACTGTGCAGTAACTACTGCACAGTTAATCTAGTACCTTTATTTACAAGTACTAGTTGACTACACAGTAGATTAATTTACTGTGCCACGCACATGTAGACAGTGAGGCTTTACTGTGAAGTAGACTAGTCTACTTCACAGTAAAGCATCTAATGTAGACACATCCAGAGTCAGATATTGGGGTGTGACACCCAAGCAGAGTGCTGTGATTTGGGAGGGTGGGAGAATAAGTGGCAAGAAAAGTGTATCAGGGTGCTTCCTCAGGGCCAATCTATCATTGGCCCTCCCACCTATTCTGGACAAACCGCCCACCTCCTTGTCTGCCACGCCTTGTTGTCTTCTTAATTGATTTTTATTAAGGTGGGAGGCTGATGCCAGGGGACGCTATTTGCAGCTCTGCTCCTTCCCTACGCTGCAGCCCATGCCTCACAGATGGCATCCAGGTGACATAATTTCGCTCAGCCTGAGACTGGAGCAAGCTGAGTCTGGGTTGCCATGGGAGACTTCAACTACCCAGGCATCACATGGGAAGAGTGCTCAGCCAAATCTGAATGATCGCAAAGCTTTCTCATTTGTGTAGATGAGCTCTATCTGACTCAAGAAGTCTATGGGCTGATGAGAGGTAAAGCACTGCTCAACCTGGTACTGACAATGGGGGATGATCTAATCAGTGACCTAATGATCCAAGGGAAGCTGGGTGACAGTGACCATGAACTGATCACCTTCACCATCTGCCATAAAGCTGGCAAGTCAGTCAGCAATACAGAAGTCCTCAACTTCAGGAAAGTTGACTTTGACAATCTCAGGAGGCTTGTCATAGAGGCCCTAAGGGACCCAAAGGGGAGGGGAGTTCAGGATAAGTGTTTGATCCTCAAAGGAGAGATCCTGGATGCACAAGCAAAGTCTATCCCATCTCAGAGGAAAGGAAGCAAAAGGGCACAGCAGTCCCCTTGGCTCTGCAGAGAACTAGTGGACCTCCTGCGTCTAAAAAGAAAGACCTACAAAGGATGGAGGAATATTCTGCACTGGTCCAGACCTGCAGGGAGTGAACCAGGAAAGCCAGGGCTGCGATGGAACTCCAACTAGCTATGAGTATCAAGGACAAAAAAAGTCCTTTTTTAGATATGTGGGGAGCTGGAGGAAAAGCAAGGGCAACATTAGACCCCTGCTAAATCAGATGGGACAACTGACAACTGATGCCCAGGAAAAAGCCAGCTTGGTAAATGGGTACTTTGCGTTGGTTTTTCACCAGTGCCAAGGGATGCCCCTGCCCATTACGGGATGGGAAGGCCTGGGTGAGGGTGATTCCTTACCTTTCATCAGTGCTGACCTTGTGAAGGAACACCTTGAGAGGCTGCATACCTTCAAGTCAGCCGACCCTGACAGTTTATACCCCAGGGTACTCAAGGAGATGGCAAGCATCATAGCTCAGCCCCTGGCATGAATCTTTGAGAACTCCTGGCACTCTGGTGAAGAGCCCAAAGATTCGAAGAAGGCCAATGCAGTGCCTATCTTCAAAAAAAGGAGGAAAGTGGATCTGGCAAACTATAGGCCCATCAGCCTGACTTCTATCCCAGGAAAGGTCTTAGAAAAGATTATCAAAGAGACCATTCTTAACAGACAAGCCGATGGCAACATCCTGAGGGATAGCCATCATGGGTTTGTTGTGGGTAGGTCTTGCTTGACCAATCTTATTTCCTTTTATGACCAGGTGACCTATCACCTGGACAAGGGAGAAGAGATTGATGTCATATATCTTGACTTCAAAAAAGCCTTCAATTGGGGATCCCATGATCACTTCCTAGCAAAACTGGCCAACTGTGGCCTCGGCTTCACCATGATCCACTGACTAGGGAATTGGCTCCATGGTTGGACCCAGAGAGTGGTGGTTGATGGAAGTCAATGGTCATGGTGTGCTGTGACCAGTGGGGTCCCTCAAGGCTCTGTCCTTGGGCCTATACTATTCAACATCTTCATTAATGATGTGGATATTGGTATCAGAAGTAGACTGGCCATGTTCCCCGATGACACCAAACTCTGGGGTAAGGCATCCACACCTGAGGACAGGAGGGTGATCCAGGCAGACCTTGACAGGCTCAGGACATGGGTGGACGAGAACCTAATCATGTTTAACACTGAAAAATGCAAGGCTCTCCACCTTGGGAAGAAAAACCCACAGCATGCTTATAGGCTCGACAGTGCTACGCTGGCTAGCACTATGGACAAAAGGGACTTGGGGGTCATGATTGACCACAAGATGAACATGAGCCATCAATGTGATGCTGCAGCTAGTAAAGTGAGCAAAGTGCTGGCTTGCATCCATTGATGCTTATCAAGCAAATCCCAGGACATCATTCTCCCATTGTACTCAACTTTGGTGAGGCTGCAGCTGGAGTACTGCATCCAGTTTTGGGCTCCTCAATTCAAAAAGGATGTGGAGAAGCTTGAGAAAGTGCAGAGGAGAGCCACACACATGATCAGATGTCAGGAAAACAGACCGTATGATGACAGGCTGAGAGCTATGGGACTCTTCAGCCTGGAAAAGTACAGGCTCAGAAGCGGATTGACCAAGTTCGCTGATGACACCAAAATTTGGGGCAAAAGCATCCACACCTGGGGACAGGAGGGTGGGTGATCCAGGCAGACCTTGACAGGCTCAGGTATTGGGTGGATGAGAACCTGATGGTGTTTAACGCTGAAAAATGCAAGGTTCTCCACTGTGGGAGGAAAAACCCGCAGCATCCTTATAGGCTTGGCAGTGCTACACTGGCTAGCACTATGGAAGAAAGGGACTTGGGGGTCATCATTGACCACAAGATGAATGTGAGCCTGCAATGGGATGCTGCAGCTAGTAAAGCGACCAAAACGCTGGCTTGCATCCATAGATGCTTCTCAAGCAAATCCCAGGACATCATTCTCCCCTTGGACTAGGCCTTGGTGAGGCCGCAGCTGGAGCACTGCATCCAGTTTTGGGCTCCACAATTCAAAAAGGATGTGGAGAAGCTCAGGAGAGTTCAGAGAAGAGCCACACGCATGATCAGAGGTCAGGAAAACAGACATTAAGACGACAGGCTGAGAGCCATGGGGCTCTTTAGGTTGGAAAAGCACAGGCTCAGGGGTGATCTGATGGCGATCTATAAGTTTATAACGGGTGTTCACCAGGATCTGGGGGAATGTCTGTTCACCAGAGTGCCCCAAGGGATGACAAAATCTAATGGTCACAAACTCTTCCATGACTGTTTCAGGCTGGACATAAGGAAGAACTTCTTTACTGTCCAAACCTCCAAGGTATGGAATAGACTGCCACCGGAGGTGGTTCAAGCACCTACTTTGAATGCCTTCAAGAGACATTTGGATGTTTATCTTGCTGGGATCCTATGACCCCTGCTGACTTCCTGCCCCTGGGGCAGGGGGCTGGACTCAAAGATCTTCCGAGGTCCCTTCCAGCTCTAATGTCTATGAAATCTATGAGTCCAAAGTTGGGCTCCATGTACATGCACACTCATACCACCTTCCATCTCACAGGAGGCCTCTTCCACTCCATCCCTCTCTTACTGGGGCCTCTGGCATACTGCCTGTTACTGGGGCACATTCCACCACCCTGCTCCTCCTTAAGTGACCCCTCTGGGCCATCAGGCTTTGCTATGCACATGCTGGCCTCACCACGCAGTCCCTTCAGGTCTCACAAGTTCTCCTACTGTGCATGGTCCAGCCTTGTGTCGAATCCTGGGCTAATTCTGCCCCACGCCCCTCACCAGGAAACTCTACACACACACACACACACACACACACACACACACACACACACACACACACACACACTGGTTTCCCAGCTCTTGTTTCCCCCTCACTGAGGCTCCTCATCTCTGCCCCCTCAATGGGGGCTAAGGGGCTTCCCACCCCAGTGGGGCTCAAGTGGCCATAGCCATGCCTGGCCCTTTCTGGGTCTTACACCCTCCCTGGGCTCAGGTGGCTATAGCCATGCCTGGCCTCCTTGTACCCACAGTGATGTGGGGGTTAGGGGTTAAGCCATCCTAACCCACCTTTCACCGGGGTGGTAACTGGCCTGGCATTTCCTGGGGGCTCCTGCACCACTGGGAGTCCCACCAGGCCACCCACTCCTGGCAGAGTGCAGTTTTTGGTCCTGCCCAGGACCAAGAGCCTGCAAACCATCCCCTTAACCTCCTGCCCTTACCTCCAAGATGTTGCATAAAACCTTGCAGCCAGGAAATGTTTCTGCCTGCCCTGCCAGCAGTGAGCTGCTTGGTTTATAGAGGGGGCCAGAGATCTAAAATGGCCACCCCAATCAAGCACCTGCTGGCTGCTTGGCTCAGCCCTTAAAGTGGCAGGCACCAACAGTGCCCTGCCACAAAAAGTAAAATGGGTGGGGAGATTGAGGGGAAAGATTTTGAGGGTGACAGACAAAAGAGGAAGAAGGCAGGTGTGAAATGAGTCTGAGATAAAGAGACTGTGGACAGTAGGGTGTGTGAAGTGAACCCTATTTAATTTGGATTTGGATTCAGCCCAAATCAGGGACAGTGATTCAATTCATTGATTCAGATCACTGTCCCTGATTTGATTTGGCTGAATCTGAAGATTCGATGCTGATTTGGAGAATCAGTGATTCGGACACAGACACACCTTAAAAAAAAATTTCTACATACCTTGAGCTAGCAGGTGCGGCTCATGATCACTGTAATGCTGGGGCGCATGGAGCAATCATAGGAGTGCAGGGGGGCCCTCCATGTGCTTGGTGGCAAACTCAGAAGTGGACCGGAAGTACTTCTGGTCCACTTCCAAGTCTGCCGGTGAGCATGCTGGGGCCCCCCCCCCATGCCTCTCTGGCTCAGTGATTGGCCACAGGGGGACCCCGGGTACACCCTCCAGACCCAGAAGGCACCAGTCACTGAGCCTCAGGAGTGCTGGCGGGGGGTGGGGAGAGGCCGGCATGCTCCTCAGTGGACCTAGAAGTGGCTTCTGGTCCACTTCCGAGTCTGCTGCCGAGCACACTGGGGACCTCCCACCCCATGTTTCTGTGGGACACTCCATGCGCCCCAGCATCACAGCATTCATGAACTGCCTGCTACCTAGAGGTATGTAGAAAAAAAAAAATAAAGCTGTCTCTATGTCCGAATCTTTGAATCTTTCCGAATCTCTCTGAATCAATTTGGAGGGTTCTGATTCAATCCGGAAAGATGAAAGGGTCCTCTGATTTGATTTGGATTTGGAGATTTGGCCACTGACTCAGGCCATGGGCACTGATTGGCACCAAGGAAGACTGGGGTCCGCTGGGACCCAACAGCAATTTGATACAGATGCTACCAATGGGTGGTAAGGACCCCGCCTAAGGAATAGACGACGTAACAGGGAATGAGACAGAGTCAAGGACAGATGACTCCTAAACAGGAAAAAGGGGGCCATAGAATATGCAGGAACACTGCTGATTGATTGCAGCAATCAGACCCCATGACCTCAAGCATTGAAGACCATCTGGAAAATCACCCATGGTGATGCGAGTGGTAACATTGCGGTTGCCAGTAGGGGGGGTGTAGGGGAGGCGGAGCCCCACAGAAAGGGACCAGAGGAAGTGACCAAGAGAAGGCTTCAGGGGTGCAGGACCAAACACTGTCCTCCCAATTTAAACCAATTAATCATCAAAGACTTGGCAGACAAGACCCCCTGGGGAACCACCCTGAAGTTGCTTGCTAACTAGAACGTCTGGCCTAAGAAGCCATGGCAAAGTCCGAGAAACATCACTATCTACAACATACCAGGGAAAGACATGGGAGGTTACAGTGGGGAACACCTGCGTGTGCAGTGTGAGCCATCACAGATGGGTTTGCAGCACTGCATATGGCACATCTGTGCTCATCTGGATGCACCCCATGTGCGTTGTTATGCCTGCATGACAGGCTGTAATAAATCTGTGAGGCTGAATATAATATTTCTAAGCACCACCACCTGCTGGCCAATCCTAGCATTAATAAAGGGTGCTATCCATAACAAGTGATGGCTGGTAACAGATGAGGAGGCTAGAGCATTGGAGCAGAGGTGGAGCTAGCCCCTCCCTTCAACTCCTTTTACCTCTGAGTTACTGGCACTCACTGTTACTCGGGCACCCTTGAATATCAGTGACATCATAGTTATTGAAGGACATTGGCATTTTAAGATAATACAGGCCAGATGCTACTCTGCAAGACTAAATTGTATTAACTAGGATTCATGGAGATACTTTGCATTTATACGGGTGTGAACACCAGCAAAATTTGCCCACAGAAGTGGTTGTGGAATTCTGCATCAAATCATCATTACTTGTTAACTGGACACCTGACTCCAGGTATTTTCATCCATAAAGCAAATTCCCTAGGTTTCTACATTAGTGGTCATGAATTGTAATGATGTGGTCTGATCTTGGGAGGTAAAAAAAATGGCTGTAGCAAATTATTATATTTATGAGAAAAATGTTAATATTTTATTAAGGGTGATATTTTAATTGTTCAAGAGTAACAAAAACTCACAGTTTAGGTCCCTGTGGCAGCTGCATGGTACATAAACATCAGTAGGTAATTTGTCCCAGTAAAGCAAAATTTGGCTCACTGACAGTAAAACTAACACCAGGGGTTGAGCTTGAATTTATCTCGGAGGAAAACCATCTGCTTGTCTGATACAGTAAATTTTGTGCCTGTTGCATTTTTAATTACTGTAATGTACAGAATCAAGGTTCTTATTTGATTTGTTTATGGAGAAAATGGTTCCCTGTGTTTCTATACATTTCCTGCATCTATCTATTTAGAGAGATCTTGATTCAAGTGAAGAAAAGGAAAACAACTGAAAAAACTTGTCTTTGTTACAGAGGACATGTTATAAGAATGTGTTTGATGTGAATATAAAGCCTTGAATGACTAATAGGAAAAATTAGAAAAATAATCACACACAAAATAAAACATAATAGAAAAGCAGATTACTTAAAGGATGATACATTTTTTTTAAATAAGTTGTTCTGGAAGGAATTAAATTCAGGAACAAAAGTACAAGTCAAGACTGGTATATAAAAAATATACTGTGCAAACCATTGGGCATAATTAGTTATTTAAGGCTTAACATAAATGATTAAAGACCAAAATTATAGTGAAGAATAATAAAAGAAGAACCTAAAGCATAACATTTTTATCTATAATACAGTCTGAATTCCTTGAAAATGTGGGGATCAGACCTCATGATGCAATTATAGCCATTTGTTAGAAGCAATAATGGCTAATATTTTATAGAAGGCAGGGTAAAGATGCATCTCATAAATTAACTAATTCAGAGTTGTATAGCTTAAGTTTTCATGAGCGCAAGCTTACTTCATCAGATGCTTTGAAAGATATGTAAAATACAGTTTGCAAACACTTTTAAGTCAATAGCCAGACTTCCAGTAACCACAAATACATGAAATCGTAGCTTAATTCCAGATTCCAAATTCTTTGCCAAGTTGAACACTTTTTCCTCTGCTGAGAGTTATATGGCATGCACCTTTCTAGCTACAGTTCAGATGACATAATACATCAAAAGAGGAGAGGTGAAAAATACTGAAGGATCAGGTCTGTAGGATTATCAAGAAACAAAACAATTCATAAAGCTTTTCTTTATTCAGTTTTCCCAGCAAATAAGCCTTGTTTAGTCTGTCTCCCTTTGTCATCTCAAGGTATTAATACTTGAAAAAAGAATAAAATGATCATTGTTGCAACTCTCATCTTAACAAGATTACAGCTAATGACTCAGTTGAAACAACTCTATGGGAGCATTTCAATATTGATGCTGCACAGCACAGTTCCCTATGTATTCTTCTAAAGAACATTTATTTTTTATCCAGGTCATATTGGAGGCAGGGAAAAAATTATACAAAGCACACCACTTGTTACTGTCCTTAGAAGAAACAATATAATGCAATTTTATTTGATATAATATGGTACAGAATATCATCAAGTGGGTTACAGTGAAACTAGAAGTAAAAAATGAAAGATTATTTACTTTTTCTGGGTGAAGATTATGCCATAGCTTTCTTTGAGCCAGCAAAGAATGAAATGAATAAAAATACTGCATCTGAAACTTTATACCACTGGGTGCCAGTATACTCACAGGCTCATCCTGCTGAGGGTGGGTTAGCATGGTAGTAAATGTGCCAAAACAACTCATTGGCAAAAAAGGCAATTTCCTCACAACCAGGCAAATATAAATGTTACATCTCTCCCTGTGCCCCCAACCAAAAAAATAAAAAAATATATTGGAAATCACAGAGGATATCAGAATAGTAAACTGGAGGGAACCCATTCCATTACAACAAGCTTAATCTTACATTGCAGACAGTACTTCAGGTATATGGATTAATATGACCACAGATTTTACAGTAGCATTCAGGTATATAGGAAAATGGATCTTTTGCTAGAACTACAATAATCAGTTTCTTTGAAATTTTAATATATGGCTGTTATGACCTGCATTAAGTTTGCACATTCTGGTACTAGATCAGGCCAAGAGTCAAAGTAATTTGCTATCCTGTATCAAGCAATAACCAGATATTTCAGAGAAAGGTGCACAACTTGCATATATAATGAACATTATTTTTTCAGAGAAGCACTTGTCCATCCCCTATAACAAAACTTCTGTTTCATTTAACACACAGTGGGTGTGTTTACATGTTAATTAATGTGCCATAGTTACTGCACATTTAATTTAGTACTTCCTTAATGGAGTATGAATGTGCAATAACTACATTTAATGCTCAGTAGTGCCAGTGCATGTTTTTTTTGTGATGGTTACTGCACAACAGCCTAATAACACTGCACAGTAGCTTATTAGCACGCTTTTCAACTGGCATGCTACTAAACAATGTTATTAGGCTACCACACAGTAAGTGTTCATCTAAACATGCCCAGTTTGTCTGTCTTATGCACATTCGGGAAGTTTGTGAGGGTTGGGAGGGGAGAAAAGGTAATGTTTGATAGCCAGTCAGGCTTGTTCAAATCCTTACTCTTTTAGCCCTACTCATGGAGGTCACCAAAATAATACAAAGCCTTATTAATCTGTAATAAAAATCTACAGCCATAAATTATTATAATAAGGCTGGATGCCTCTTGATGGGAAAATACAGCAGCAAGTTTGCTACAGTGGAGAGAGTGCTCCTCTCCATGCCTAGCCATTTCTGTTGGTTGGTGCAAGGAAAGAAAGCACAAACTTTAGCCAACCAGG